GTGCAGCGGCTCGTCTCTTGTTGTGGTTGTGGTTGCCAGGAACCACGAACCGTGGTAAATTATGCTTCGTTCCAGTGTTTCTGGCAAATTTTGCCTTGATCAATTGAGTACTAAAATGGCTATAGTAAAATCAGTCGTGAAAACCTTCCAACTTCAACTCGACGTAGAATTCCTACTAGAGGCTACCCAACTCGTCCAAAATAATTGGAGCATGGTTCTGTAGAGGAACGGTCTTCCACCAACAACTGCGAACCTGGAACGAGAGCGAGCCCGGCCGGATGAGACCTAAATGGAAATCCGATAGGATTGACATTTAGGTCGAAGCCGGCCGGGCGAGCTCTCGTGACAGGTGAGCAGTGGAGGGGGAAGACGGTGTCTTCTGGAAACATGTGACAATTTCACCCTAAGTAATCAATTGGAGTTTTCTAAGTAAAGATTTTTTTAGCTCACATTTTGAGTTTGAAGCCAACCAAATGGCGCCATTTTGGCTTCAGCACTGGCTGCAGCCAACTGCAGCACGCTCCTCCACCACGCATATGCATACAGCCACGCAAACATCGGACGCCATTGAACAGCCACAACATCACGCAACGGAGTCACTAGTGACACCTATTGCTGCCGTTACCGCTCCTATTGCCGCCTTTACCAGTCAAAGGTCACGCCATCTCCAGTCAAAGGCTGGAGTTCTTTTTCCTCATCGATCTTGTTGCCTCTCCGCGGTGAGTGAGAGGTGTCAGCCAGAGTCGAGTCGAGTCAAGTCAGCGTCCTCTTACCGTAACCACGTTGTCATTTGCCTCTGTGTCAGTAGAGCGGTGTGTCATTAGAGCCGTGTGTCAGTAGAGCGGTCGGTCATCATGTCTCGATCCACTCGCTCCAAAGGGACCTTCCAAGATACTGGTCGATCTCTCTTCTCCCAGATTGCCTCAATAGCAGAAGCCACTGCCAATGGCAATGAAAGAGCATTGTTGGCGGTACAGGAAGAAATTGATGGGGCCGAAGATGACGAAGAGATTGTGGAGTTTACTCAACACAACAGTCAAGGAACTGTACACTGGAGTCAAGCCACTGGTGAACTCATCTTGCAGAGTAATGCCGACGCCGCAGCTGAAGACGAATTCAATTTACCACCTCCAGATGACTCCTCGGATTCTAGCGAGGATGAAGACGACCAAGGCTCTGGAAGTGAAGATGGCTCTCCCTTGCAACTCGCTCAACTCTCTGCCGTTTCTCCAGACGACACCTCCAACAAGGAAAACTGCCATACCTTCTCTCAAGTCGAAAATGCCAGCCTCCTTCTCCAATTTCGACCTCCAGCCGCCGCGGCACCAGCAAATCCCACACCGCCGCTCCCAGCCGATCCAAAGCAAGCGCGGAAAATGAGACTCCGAACGGCCCACCAAGAGCAACAAGAGTCGAACCGTGCCGCCGCTCTTCATTCGTTTGATGATCGTTGGGAGAAACAAGATCGGGCTTTTGGCGAAACGGGTGAATGTATCACCAATTTTGACACGGAACCTCAAGACGAACCTCAAGGTCAGGTAGACGACACGCCAGTATTGATGGAACCAGAGCGAGACGAGGAAATCGATGGGAATGACGCTCATTCCACTGTAGCCTCCACCGTAGGTTCTCATGGTAGCAAACGCAAAAGAGGCAAACCGAAGAAATCGCCCCGTCGAACCACCCATGAAGGAACTGGTTGTCCACTCGTAGGAAATGCTGGTGCTGTGTTGCCTCATCCGGAGCACCACCGACAAAACCATCCTCTTGTGACAGGGACCGCCAAGAAACCGGGCCCAAACCCATACCAAAAGAAGTCGAAGTCTGTTCCTCGCCCCCTTCCCACCACTCGATCTCGATCCAAGGTTCCACCACCACCAGCTCCATCTGGTTTACCCGAACTTGAAGAATTCGATCTTCCCGCCAGTACACAAGAAGAAAGCGAGAGTCTAGAAGAGATCTGCCGTCTGATGAATGATTCCACGGAAGATTTTGGAGACGAACAGGATCTCGTTGATAACTGTAAACGTGGAGGCAACACCAAGGAACGCGAAGCGCGGAAGTTGGCTTGTGTCAAACGGATGGAAGATACTCTGAAGGATTCGAACCAAGACTGGTCCCGACGGCTCTTGGTCAAAGTCAACTGTCGATACCTCCAAGCCAAGGGAGATTTTGTCGCGCTGGATTACGTATTGTATGACTATCTGGAAGGCGAAAAGACTCCATGGAAGCGTGCCCTGATGAACCGCATCATTACACTCTGTGGCGTCAAATGGAGGAAGAAGAAGGCCGGCGTCTCTGGTGGTGAAGTGGGGGGTGAACTCCAACCCAACTCCCTCATGAAGCTCATCAAGGATCTCTTGTGGAAGCTGCGAGAACGGAACATCAACTTTGATGTCAAAGAGTTCTCTGGTATTGGCGAATTCAATGGAGTCGTCACAGACAAGATGCAGGCTTTGTACAAGGAGGATCATTCGTATGGATCTATGGCCAACAAGAAGCGTGCTCCCAAAGATTACATTATTCTCTTGATGCAAGCGATTCAGAACAAGAAACTGGATCCTGAAAATAATCTCGAGCATTTGTGCTTCGTCATCATCTTCTGTCTTGGATATTATTGTGCTTTCCGCGGTGGTCAAGATCATGCGGGGTTGCACATCAATGATATTGGGTTTGGAGTTTTCGACCATGAGTATGGCGAGTGGGAAGGCCGTGAGTTTGTTTGGGTGAACATCTCCGCCAGCAAGGCCACAAAGTTGAGCACCAAGCATCCGCACATCAAACCCGGCCAGCGTACTAAGCTCTTCATTCCCGATGACCATGATTTGAAAGGTTGGACTCCCATCCGCTACTTCAAGTTGTACTTGTCGTACACCCACCCCGAAGCCAAGAACTTCTATGCGAAGGATATCACCAGTGACTCCACTCGACATACCTTGAGCGCTGATGTGAAGAATCGACTGATGATTGTTCGTGATGTTCGATTCTTTCCCGCTGGTAATCGGAAAGCACAACACAACCTTGGTCCTGCCACCATCGTCAAGAAATGCAAGGCTTTGGCAAAGTTGATTGGAGTCGATGACTATGAATCCTGCACAGGTCATGCCTTGCGTTCGTTGTCCATTACTCAAGCAGTTGCTGCCGACTTGAACTCCAATGAAGTTGCCAACATGGCCCGTCAAAAGAGTACCACCATTCAAACCGAGTATGTGCACGGTGCCAATTCGGAACGTGTCGCCAATCAGATCAGTGCCGTCAGCGTCGCCAATGTCATGAAACGGACTAATGCCACGAACTTGGTCGAAGTTGTCGACTCCAAGCCTGCTGCACGCCAATCATCTGGTTCCAAAGACAATGAGTCGAATGAAGTCGAAGTGCAACGGTTGCGAGCTGAAAATGCCGAGATGAAACTCAAGATGCTTGAGCAGCAACAGCAATCTTTGAGTGCCATGGCTCCACCACATGCTGCTTCCTTTTCCAATCAGCAATCGTATGCTCCACCTCCGGTTTCATATCCAGCTCCACCACAGGCTGCGTTTTCGGCACCGTATCCTCAACAAGTCCCTTCGTACCAGCCCAATCTGTTTCCACCGAATCAATATGGGTATCAACAGTTGCCACCACATGGGTATCAGCCACAGCCACCAGCATACTTTGGCGGGGGGTATCAGTCATTCGCTCCTCCAATTGATAATCGTGGATCATATGCTTCACAGGGATATCAGCAAGTTCCTCCACTGGATCATCGTGGGTCGTATCTTCCACAGGGATATCAGCAAGGTCCACCACTGGATCCTCGTGTGCAGCAAGGACATCTACCGGATCATTGTGGATCCTATCCTCCACCGGAGTATCAACCAGGTCCTTCACTGGATCATCGTGGGTCGTATCCTCCGCAGGGATATCAGCAAGGTCCACCACCGGATCATCATGTGCAGCAAGGACATCCACAGGAACCTCCGGCATTTCAACATGGAGCTCCACCAGGTCAGCGTACTCGTTCCCCATTTCCTCCTGGGAATATGGCCCCACCCGGTCATCTTGGATATGGACGTAATCTTGGGCCGTCTCCAGTTCCGCCATCTGAACAGAATCGTGGACGTTCCCCGCCGCCTCCTGGCAATTTGCCACCACCGCAACAGAATCTTGAACGTTCCCCGGTGCCTCGAAGCAATAACAATTTGCCCCCGCCGGATCATCATGGTCGTGGTTCTGGATACAGAGGACATGGCTACCGCTGGTAATCATCATGGTGGAAGATGAATTAAGTTTCGAGTTTGACAGAGCTTTCGCTGTTTGCTGTTTTGAAGTGTTTCCATCCATTTTTATGGAAACATTGAACCGACTGGATGGAGTCTTCTCCAGTTGTTTTCTTTCGTGCACCGGATTCGGATTGATTCCTTCCGAGTTGATCCTCTCTTAGTAGCTTCCGTTGGATACCCTTGGCTGAAGACCCCAATTGCTAGCATAAAAGGTTGTGGTTCAAATTCTCTTACAACCATATATCATAGTAATTGTTTCAGAAATTGAACAATCATTGTTTTAGCTGAAAGATACGGTTTAATCAAGGTCATTCCCACCAACCACTCCAAATCGATCACACACTTATGAAATCTTCTTCCCGGAATACCAATCAATCGTACAAGTTTGTCAACTCTGCCGCCTTCAATTTGCAAATGTTGCTGTCCCAGAGACTCAAAAAGAAATAGAGATTCTTTAACGATCGGTACCAGGAGTAGCAACAAGTTGCTTTTGTAGGTGACGACGTTGGATTGGTGTTGACTCCTACTTAGGTTGTGTATCGAACGAAATTTGTTTCTACATGGTCGCCGAATTTCTTAATACTGAAAATGTGAGCGTTGAGAGGTCATGCCGGCACTTAGATCGTTCCAGTATTTGCAGCCAAATTGGCAAGGATTGATTGAGTACTAAAAATGCTATAGTAAAATTAGTCGTGTCAAGCTCACAACTTCAACTTGCCGTAGACTCACTACTAGAGGCTACATGATTTCTCCAAAATAATTGGAGCATGGTTCCACATAGCGGAACTCAGCAAAATCGAGTTGACATTGCTCGTTCATCTTCCGAGGGTAAGCGTGGACGGATGTACACAGCATGATGCTCATTTGGCACTTCACTTTTGTGTTCTTCACTATTTTGGCCATCACCGAGGTATCTTCCGCTGTAGCAATTCGGTTCGCCTCATCGATAACCAGACAAGGTTTTTTCTGTTGTTCAAGGGCCAGATCGGCAATGAGCTCAACAAGGTCTGCTTCTTCGCTGTCGCTGCCTGCAAGACGGGCGAACACTTCCATTAGTCCACACGATGCTGCTTCGACAGCTGCATCTGTTGTCGGATGAGAGGCTGTGAGTGGCTTAATAGCAGTCTTCCCAGCCGCCACGAGCTTTCCGACTTTCGAGAAATCGACTTTCTGGTACCACTTATTCTCTGCCAGTTCTTCCAAAGCCTTTCTTATACCTCGAGCTAAGCTTCCATCTCTTCCATCCACATACACCAGCATGACCTCACTGGTGGGGTGCTTGTAGTCTTCAGAGATTTCTTTGAGGAGGCGAGTTTTACCAATGCTGCGGCTTCCGGTAATGAAGGTAAGTCCGCCAGCGGATGTCGTTAGAGCCCTGATTTCCTGCTTTAATTGAGTACGACCAAAAACATCCCCTTTTACCATCATTTGATCGAAATTTTGGTCGAGCTGGTCCATGTAGCCCTTCGTGGTGCAATTAATAAAGCTCCTTAGCGTCCTTCTCTGCCATCGCCCAGAAAAGCCCGTGTTGACTCAGTTGAGGACTAGCCGACATGTCATCCGAGTACCAATCCTTAACATGAGTATCTACGCCTTTCAAAAGACCGAAGGATTCGGTCCCATCATTCATCACGTTCATGGTGGAAGTACTGCGCTAGGAATTCCAAGGCACAGAGCTTTTTGTCGGACGCTAAGAATGAGTTAGTCGGTTTCTACTCTACTAGCTAGCTAGTAGTAGAGGATTGCGATAGATTTATTACATTCAGTTGACTCTAAACCCCCCTTACTTTGAGCGATGGTTATCGCTGCTCCTTCCCCCTTCGACCCCCCTGTTTGTTCTGCTCCCCTCTGTGACCAAATTGTTATGGACCGGGTGGGAGTATTCCGAGGTTACTATTAATTTAAAAAAATTGCATCCAGTTCTCAGTTCTGGTACCTGATCGATTGGTTTATCGGTTGATTGACCACCATGTCTAATAATAATAACAACAATGATGATGATGTCGATCTTCTCAAGATTGCGGAGTTGAGATTGCAGCTCGGAAATTCAGAAGATGATCAAGAAAACGATGAGTCCAAACAAACCCGAGATGATCATGATGGTGGTACTTCGAGCCGTTCTCCTCCTGCCCCTAGTCTTGCTGCCACTGCTGCTGTCCCTCCTCTTCCAACATCAACCACCACAAGTGGCTTTGATATTATGAAGATTGTCAGAGAAAGAGCTGATGCTGCTCGTCTTGAAACAGCTGTAGGCTTGGAGCTAGTAGAACTCACCGAAAAAGTTGGCACAACACAGATGGGCAACAACAGCTGCCATGACAGAATCACAGATAACGCACAAGTGCCACAACCTACCATTCTAACAAAACTACCCGAATTTTCTAGACAACAGCAAATGAATCCTGGTGCATATGCCGTTGATGGTCCATGTCTTGCTAATGACAGAGAGAATCGTTCGAATACTGGAAGTGATACTGGTAGTAATACTGGTAGTAATACTGGTACCAGTGAGGAAGGCCTTAACAATTGGCTTGAAGAAATTGCAGATGACGAAATCATCGCACATCCTATAGATGATGATCAGCAGATAGGCCTTTTACCCAATGCAGAGCCACTACCTACCAACCGGAGATCAAGACAGTACTGGAGGCAAAAGTTGCTTTGTTCCCTTTCCGTCGAGATCAATGTGGCTTTTTTTCTTGTATCTATTATTGTCCTAATTCTGTTGGCGACATCCAAACAAGGAAACAAGAATCAAATACCACAAAAAAATGGATCAATTTATACTCCTCCAAATCCTGTGGAAGTCGCAACAGCACAGACCTTTTTGGAGTCACTCAATCTACCTCGCTACACACTAGAGGCACTGGCAAACTCCAGATCTCCTCAGACCAAGGCATATCAATGGTTGGTCAACAACATCAATAACCAAACCTTCACGCAACCAGATCTACCAAAATCGAGACTGATACAAAGATTTGCTATGGCCACATTCTTCTATTCCACAAGAGGGGACTATTAGGTGAAACGTCGTGGCTGGCTGGATTGGGAGACTCATGAATGCAGCTGGGAACAAATATTTTGGGATGATGTAATATTCTCTCCAGACCTGTGCTGTAATGAGATGGGAGAAATCAAGGCACTGGCGTTTACAAATGCCAATAGCATGGAAGGAACAATTCCTCCTGAGATTTCTTTGCTGGGAAAAAGCTTGCAGTCCATCGAAGTGTTCGGGCAATTGGATCTCAAGGGCACCATCCCAACTCAAGTTGGACTACTGACAAAATTGACTCAATTAATATTGGTTGCAACAAATATTGTTGGAACACTTCCAACCGAGTTTGGACAACTGCAGAGTCTTCACTGGCTTCAACTTGTTCTGACACCAATTCATGGGCATATTCCTTCTGAGATTGGACAACTGAGCAAATTATCAACATTTACTGTGGGGAAAGTTGATCTAACAGGTATGTGCAATTTGTTTTGGTTTGGTCAGCAGATCATCATTGGAAGCCTGATATTGTCATTCAATCTAGGTTCAGTACCAGGTGAGCTTTACAAATTGCCTGCCCTGCAGTCTCTAGAAGTTCTTGAGTGCCCTGGGCTGGAAACTGAATACAGCCTTCAAGAAGTCATTCAGGCTGCAAAAAAGCTTCGTTCGCTTATGCTATCAAGCCAAAGCAATGGGACAGTAATGTCAATTCCATGTAAGAAGGCATGCTAGCATCACATGTGGAAGGGTAGCTGCAAAGAAGGATGACTCACTTTTAGACTCCTTTTGATACAGCTGGACTTGGAAAGCTGACAGAACTGGAACACCTCTATTTGGTTGACTGGACAAATCAGGGCACCTTCCCGAGTGAGCTTGGGCAGTTGACAAAGCTGGTAAGCATGGCCCGAGGAATCATATTTGAATCTGAATAGGTTATGGTATTAAAGTACACTGATGTTGCATATACATATCAACAGACCACCCTGGTATTGGATGGGAATTCTATCTCTGGAACTTTGCCCCATGAGGTCTTTGAACTGACCGGTGAGTTCAGAAACATGCTATTGTGTTGTATCGTGCTCGTGTTGACTTCGCCATCAGAATTCACCTTTGTTTGCTTTTCTCAGAGCTGACCAACCTCAATGTTGGCTCCAACCAGTTGCAGGGCACACTACCGCCAGTTCTCTTTTCCAAACTTTCCCACCTGCAGTTCATAGACATCAACGGCAGAACAGGCACTGTTCCTACAGAAGTGGGCCAACTGTCTCGTCTCAGGAAGCTAGAATTTCAGAATACCAACCTTTCTGGTACCCTCCCTACAGAAATACTTGCACTGGAGAAATTGACCAGCTTGGTAGTCACAGACACATCCTTGTCCGGCAGCATCCCTGAAGAGCTGTGTGACAGAATGTACCAGCAGGAAGTGAAATGCTATGGTCCTCCACCGTGTAAAGTCTTCCGAGTGAATACCAGCACAACTGCTTGCCATGGCACTTCCCTCTGTGGATGTGATTGTGGTCCTTGCAAACTTGACTAGCTAGCAAGGCGTCGTAAACGAATTTTGGCTTGGGGAGTAAGCATCGTAAAGATCTAACGGTATCTTTGGAGCTTTTGTCTTGCTTGCGTCGACGTTGTCCCGTCCCTTCTTCACCATAGCAAGCACAAATACTTGACCACACCCTCCGTGTCGCTCGTAAGGTATGCATTGGAGGCATGATAAATGGAGGGCACCCTTGAACAAGATGCGCTGGTATGCTACGGTACGGTAGTTGCGAGCAACATCGCTCTGGCGGTGCGTGTGGAAGCGGAACCTGTCATGATGTTCTTGGTAGCTAAGAGCCGAAATGCGCAACTAATTTTAACGGGCTGCCATTGGTCTTAGACTCTTCATTCCAAGGCGTGTCTCGTGTAGGGCACCATTCTATCTGTTCCTATCCGCCTGCGTCAAAGCTACCCATCCGCCAGCAGGTCAGGATGTGCGGTCAGCAGATTGTATCGAGCTGTAGCATTGCAAAGCATCAGAGCAGAGAACCTCACGTCAAGAGTTTCTTGTCAGTACCGTATGGTAAGTCTGCGTCTCTGCCCAAGAAAACATGGGCAATCTCAGTGAACAATCCACCGGGCGCTTCTTGGGCAATGCCGAAGGGACCCGAGTGCCCATCTTGGAGTTTATGGGGGGGTTAGGCATGAGCGCGGGGGAGGGAAAAAGAAGAAGAAGAGGGAGAGGGTTATCGGTTGAGTTCCAGATTCCGAGTTGAGAGCGTGCAGGGCATGTCGAACGACATGAAGAGGCACGAAGAGACATGAGCTACATACAATAAAGAGGGGATATGGCAAAGACCTTTACTTTCCCCATATGTAGGCAGTCATCGCCCCATTGAATCATGTCTGAAGAACAAGCAAAGTGTCAGCAAATACGTCACATCCATCGTTTGTCTCACATTGGTTCCGTATTTTGAATCCATTCAACGGCTACCCCTGGCTCGCTCTTTCTCTCTTTTCTGTTTCCTTCGCTCGAACCAAACCCTCCCATTTTGAATGAAAGTCAACGACAAACTCCCATAATCTCGGTCGTACTCGACAAGGTAAGAATAATGCTGATGTTGTTGTTGCTGCTGCTGTTGTTGTTGTTGTTGTTGCTGCTGTTGCTGTTGCTGTTGCTGCTGCTGTTGTTGTTGATTGCGATAATGATTGCTAATACTATTATCTTGTCTCTCTACCGCTATTAAAGAATTGTCGCCGACCTTGGAACAACAACAACCACGAAACTCGCCAATTCACAACAAGGCGACAATGAGGATCGCAACTACTTCTTCGGCCTTCTCCAAGTGGCTGCAAAGTGTCAACAGATACCCATTCAATGAGCTGAGGGTAACAAGACAAGGATTCACCTGCAAGTATGTCATTTGTGGGTACAACAGTGATGAGGAGGATAACTTCTGTTTGCCCACAACCAGCATGGAAGTGACTGTTCTTGAGGAGTTGATATTGCAAGGAGCATGCAAGCCACTTCCTCCTGCCATGACCGACATCATGGATTACATGTTAGCTTCAGGCCTTCAGAAAAGTCCAAAATGGTACAGAGCTGTTATCTCCACCCTCTCTGAAATGTTGGAGTCGCCACATCCCTGTGAAAGGAAGGACATCTTGATTGAGTGCATCTACTGGTTAGTGAGGGAAAGGGTCAGTGAGAGCTATGAGTTGTCCTCCCTAGAAGGACAGAGTGTGATGGATGCTTGGCATTATTATTGTTGCCACTGGATTGACTACAAGAAGAAGATTTCCTTCAAGAAATGTACTGAGATGAGTGAGACTATGGTTGTTGATTTCATTGGCAATGATATGTAAGTTACTGGCTAAATTAGAAATGAATTTGGTGGATCTAAACATTGATTGCTTGTTGCTTGTTGCTACCCATACCCAGTGAATCTTGATTGGCAATTGGCATCATGAGGTGGTCTTCCTCTCCTGTTGGTTAACCACTGGCAGTATCGCTGACAGCAGCCATTTGGTGGAGGTTGCTGGAAAGGAGATGGCAGTATTGGTTGGAATTGCCGCATTTGCATGGCAAGTTGCATCATTTGAATTTGTTGTTGTTGCTGGTATAGAATCAAATTACCAACATAAGCATTTCTTGTTTGTGGCACTGCAGGTGGTGGTGGTGGTGGCGGCGGTGGCGGCGGTGGTGGTAGTGGAGGTGGTGGCGGTGGCTCGATTGCTGGTGGTTCTGTTGGAGGTGGTGGCTCGATTGCTGGTGGACTCGGTGGTGCTCCAGTGCAAGCTGCACAAGATCCTGATCCCTTTCTTCAAAAGATGGCACTTACATCAGACAGTTTCCTCCTCTTGGTGACCCATCCGTGACATCTATGATGCTGCCTGTGCTTCAAACAGGAATCCATGGAGGATCAGTGACAACCAAAGGCACACAAGAGAGATCCAAGTGTCAAGTGCAACAAAGGAATCTCTGCCAAGACAACCTTCAGGTGGTAAGAACTACCAAGAGTTTGGTGCTGGTGCTGTTTGGGATGCTGCTACGAGACTGGAGAGATTGCTTCTGCTGTTCTTGTTCCCACCACCAAGACCACTTCTCTCATGCTGCATGCAGCTAGCAAGGAGGAGCCATTCAACCCAGCTGCCATGTACAGCGACACCTGGCCCCACAGGATGACTACTGGGAGATACTCTTTCCAGGAATCGAGGAAGGCTAGGCCTGTTTCATTATGAGAGAGGATCCTGTCAACTTTGAGGAAGGGTCACATTGATTACTTTCAAGCACTGACAGACCTCTTGGATTGCTTGTATGAGTACTCACCAGATGACTATGAGAAGGTCCTCCATGCATTGAAACATGGCCTCTTGTCCTCCAATGGCAAGCATACTCCATGGCAGAGATCTCCGACATGCAAGCCTCAAGGTCTTCAGAGCTTGGTACTCCAAGTATCTAAGGAAGCAGATGAGGTCACCAGAGGACAATGAGGACAGAGGTTCAGCAGTGGTTCTGCAGGTACAAGTGACAGCCAGTGATGGTAGCCAGCCAGGACAGGGGCGACTGGATCCAGCCAAGAACTATACCTTGTTCACTTCTGATACAAGCCAGCAGTAGAGAACTGTGTGCAAAGCTGCTCACTTGGCTGATCCCCTGGCACTGGAAGACATGTATGACACCATCCTACCATCACCCAATTCCAAGCACAGCCTCCCAGAGTACCTATCGAGGAGAGGAGAATCCAAGTTAGAAGCGTTCCATGACAAGTTTGCCCATTTGGCAATGGTGGAATGAGAAGAAGCCTTGCAGATGCACTCAACTTGGCTGGAACTGCAAGATACAACCTCAAGATTAGACACAAGAGAGCCTTCCTGTCAAGAATCAGTCTGGCAGAGAGGAGGTCAATTCCAGCTGGATGGGAGAAGGTTGTTCCATACTGGAATCACTCAGAGTTGGCTTACCTGAATGAGCTAGCACAGAGGCTGTGGGTGTGGATCCACCATTTCCTACTGCAGAGCCACTGCCACATGATTCTGGAGAGAGGTTCTTTTCAGAGTTCATTGTTTCATTCAAACACAAAGGCAGAAGTATGCTCCAAATGATTGTTGTCT